TTATTGCAACAGAAAAATGGTTATTTCTTTGCCACTGAGTGGATCTAAAATACTCATACAGAAAGAAGAAACTCACTGAACTGTTTAAATGTTCTAATTTTCAGAGGTAGTAAGTTCCAAGACAAAATTATCATCAACTGGAAAGACACCAACAACACCATCTGTTCAAATGGGAAGGTAAGTGTTCTAAAAATGTTATATACCGGTTGATGAGTGTGGACAAAATGTTAACATCGTAATCAACACCTAGTTCATTGCATTTGAGTGATGATTCCTTTTGGGAGGTTACAATAGCAAACTGCTTGGGTCATAAACGGAAAAAAAAAATGTAACCTCTCAAATGAGTCCTCAAAAGATCTGAATTAGGTGGGGTGCCCATAAGGATGTTAAAATGTTAGTCAAATCTTACCATTTATTTAGAGAACAGTCTGGAGAATATGCATGCTAGTGTTGAGGTGTAATCTTTTGCTTTTTATTTCAGTGTTCATATAAAGGTTGATGAGAAGATCACACTAACTGCTGGAAGAGATGGGGGACTACAGAACATGGAAGTCAGAGGTCTTGTGCTTCTCAGAGTGTCTGATGCACAGTATGGAAAAATAAGACTCAGTGTTGAAAACAATGATGATAAAGGATTCCAAATGCAGGTACTGTTGTTTGTTGTTTAGTTCTGAGAATATGGCATTGAGCTCCAGGCTGAAATATTTTGCAAAATGCCATTTGGCAGTATCAAATCGCAAAAATTTTGTCTGATGAAGCTTACACTGGTCTTCTAATATTTGTTGATTTTGATTTTCAGACACATCCAAACATAGACAAGAAATTATTCAATCAAGAATCATTAATAGGACTCAAACAACCTAGCAAACCTTTCCCACTTAATAATGACATTGGTGTATTAAAGTGGAGACTGCAGAGCACAGATGAAGGACTAATGCCATTATCAAGTAAGATTTTAGCACAATCGACACCTCACTTTTTAGAATTACTGTAGTGTTACTTTTTATACAAGATAAAACATCTAGCTATGCCAACATGAGCGGTTTGATGGCCCTGACATGTAGACTCCACTTGACTTCAGATTGAATCGTCCATGTGTGGGCCCCAAGTTGTATCAGGCTACAGAAATAATCTGCGAGTCCCTCTCAGGGGTTAAAGGGTGAAAGAAACGGGGATATGAGAGGGAGGCACTTTCAGTTTGCTGACTTCACTTTTTCATTGTGTAAGATTCATTGTGTGTTTCACATCTCTTGCAGTCAACTGTTGGCCTTCAGAAAATGATGAACAATGTGATGTAAACATAGAGTATGAGCTTCTCCAAGAAAATCTGGAGCTGAATGATATTGTAATTTCAATTCCTGTTCCGTAAGTAGTCACTTATCTTCGTTTGTAAACAAGTGTGCTTGTGGTTGAATGTGAAAAGGGTTAGCATTCTATGCAGGAAGTTCAGATGTCAATTTGTCAATGTGTGTTAACCTTAAAGCAAATCATGATGTTCTTCCCTCAGTAATAAGGCAAGTCAGTATGACAACATTGCTTGATTTGTAAAAGTATGAGGAAAAGAAACAGAGCTGTGAAACTGGTCACAGATGAATGTGAAGTGGCTCGTAATTTTGACTCAAATATGGCATTTATTTTTACCTTATTTATTACATGTACCTGATAATTGGAAGGGATTCTTTTAGTGATTACAAAGAGCAAGAAACTGCTATTGTAACTATTGGTTTAAGAAATTAATTACACAAAATAACATGGTTGAGTTTTTAATTTTAGAAGGTTGATATTTTAAGATTGAGATTTTTTCAAAATTTGGTTTGCATGGTGATAGTTTTAATTGGTGACAGGACCTGCTGATGTTGTGGTAGATATGCAACAAGCTTCTGCAGTTTCTTTTTAACCATACTGAAAAGAAAGTGTATGAAGGAAATATTTGAGAAGACAGCCTTGTATTTAATGAAAAACAAATGGATGACATCAAAAAGTTTGTTGATTTAGATATAAAGATATTAAAATATGATATATTTTAGTGAGGTGTGGAGCTGGTTTTCAGTGAAGCTTCTGTATGATATGTCAGAATTCAGACAGCAGAAATATTTCAAAGTAATTTGAAATTGATTGTGAGAATAACAATTGTTTTTACTTTAGTCAAAATGCTTTATTGGGTGTGGTTGCAGGCACGGTGTTGGTGGACCAGTTGTAGGAGAAGTGGATGGGGAGTACCACTATGATCACAAGCATTCTGTTCTTGAGTGGCAACTACCAGTAATAGATTCATCAAACAAGAGTGGTAGTATGGAGTTTAGCATTGCAGGACATCCTGGAGATTTCTTTCCTGTTTCAGTGACCTTCACATCAAGGAAATCGTATTGTGACTTGAAGGTATTTTCTGTCTTTTGCAATAGCATGCCAAAAAAATCACATACCTATAAGTTAAGCTGTAATAGTACAGACATATATCTTAATCTACCAGCTCAGACTTGCATTGGTGTATTTTTGATCGTACTCTGGTACTGTTCAACCAAAATTTTTTTTGTCAGATGTTCAATAGAATTTACATAAAACAACTGGAAATCTTAAGTTTGTTTGCTGGGTCGTTTGTAGCTCACTAGCCAGGCATTTGATAAATAGTATTCTCACAGATACACTGCCCCCCTGATTTGTGTAAAAAAGTTTGGAGAAAAAGGTGCAGTTTATCCACTGGTGTTTATGGTACTTGCTGTGAAATGCACAGTCCACAGCTGTTTGCACAGTATTTAGGTCCCTTTGACATGGTTAGTTATGTGGTCCAATGTAATTAATCTGATCAGTGTTGCCAGTAAAATAAAATTTTTATTTGATTTTTTCAGCCCTGGAAATCCCAAGAAATCTTTTATAGGTCCTCTCCTTCAAGAAATTTTATATTAGTGGAGACATGACAGTTGTAATCTAATCAAGATTTGTAACTTTGTGTATTTGCAGATAACAGAGATCACATCTGTAGATGATGAGAAACCAGTGAAGTTTTCACAAGAAGTTGGGTTTTCAGTTGAAAAATATGAGATAGTATAATCATTATGTCGACAAAAATACTGGAACTTATATTTTTTCTTTGGTAACATACAGTGCTGAGAACACTTTTTTCTGGAGGAAGATCTTACTTGCCAACATACCTTTTAAAAAATGTTATATATTTGGACTGAAGAATGGTAGACAAATATCTAAAATTGGTAATTTGGTATTGTATAGCCATTTCCTTTAAGACCATATAATAGTGTTTGGCAGAGAAGAAAAATTTCATTGGAATGATGACCATCACTCTATCCCAATTTTCACAAAGTTGACAGATCATTTGTACATGAGGTTCCTTATAAATAGTGAAAGATGTTTGACAAGTTAGTGTGCATCTCTCAATTTCAGCCTTTGTTAGATTTTTCATACAATGCTACTCAGAAATTTCAATAACTTTTCCGTAAGTGGCTGTGGTTGTTGTTACAGGCAACAATGTCTGAAAAGTGGCCATAAGACAAACCCAAGCACAAGGGCCTTCCTGCAGGCCAAACAGACGGCAGTGAGAGGTTTTTAAGGTGGCTACAGATGGCTGGTTACCAGCTTTCATTGAAACCTTAGACTTCTCAGAAGGATTGTGCAATGAGCCATTGACAATAATTGATACTTCTTGGGCAAATTCAGTGACATCCCAAACTCCCAAACAACAGCTACAAAGGAGATTCATCTAAGTTTTGGTTAAGTAATGGTAATTTCAGTGACAGCTCAGTTTGTTTTTACAGTTGAATCTTTCCATGGATGACAACCTAGAAATTACCACATAACCGTTTTAGATCGGTATAGCCATCTCATAAAGAGGTGTATCTGTTGTATGGGGTTGTCTGTTACAGATCAGTACTCCAGGGTTGAGGTTCAATGGTGAACACATCTTCAGTCAGTGCCAGTTCATTGTTGAGTACTTTCAGTAGTAAGACCATCTCCAGAAGAGCAGCCCCTGTACAGTTGTTGCAAAGCAACAAAGTTACCCATCATGCATTATCATGTCATAGTTTTACTATCACTCCTTCTTATGCTATCACATTAAGTCCTTGTATTAACAAAATGAATGAGAGAGATTTAAAAACTTAATTAATGCTGCTTGGAAGTCACACTGATGTTGTAGTTAGTCTACCATGCTCATTACATGGTATTTTTACTGGGGAGGAAAGAAATTAAAGTGAACAATAAAATTAAATGAATTATCATCATTGTATATGTTATTATTTCCCTTCATGTGTATGAAATAGCCACCTTTCTTCTTCAACTAATATGTGTCTGTTTGTTGGCTGACCTGCTGGTAGACTGTTCTAGTGTAGTTAATGTTAGTCAATACATCAGTTTCTTTTCATCACAAAAACATTTTCAGGAGCCAGCTCTGCTTTCTGTTAACACCCTAGCATTAGAATTTATATTCTCCATGCTTGTCTCTTTACATTTTCTTTTGGTACTGACAATGAGAGTTTGTTTGATGTCAAAACTTCTTGGTCTACCAGTCATTTCCTTCAATATCATGATCTTTATGGATTATTCAGCAGTAATATTGTAAGGAGAAATAAGATGCTGATTACTCTTGGTAGGAGCTAACACCATTGCTGTCTTCTTTCTAGCTACTTTTTCCCCTCCCCCTGAATTTTCGTTCCACTCTTCCTGGTATTGTTCAACTACTGAGATTAAGACAGGTGAGTTTCCTTCTAGAAATAAGACCCTTTGGAATGAAAATATTTCCAAACTTTGTTCCTCTTGATCACAATTGACAAACAATGTGACTGTATGAGATCACAAATTAAACATTTCTTCAATCGGTTCAATATTTGGATATTTTCAACCTTTTTCGCCCCTTGTGTATTAGTGACCTTGCACAACCTCTCAATTATTTCTTTATTTTCGCCAGCAGAAATTTTGCCCAGCGGACTGCATCTTCAGGCCCAGTTTCTCTCTTTATCACGTGGAAACATGGTGGACGAAATGTTTAACTTTCACAGAGTGCTATAGTGGCTCTTGATTCGATCCCTTAATCTGAGTATAGCTGAAGTTTGAGAACAATTAAATACGAAATGGATCTCTTCAGAGTGGAGAGATTTATGGGAGATGACGGAAATGAACCAGATCAAAGGGACGAATCAAGAAGACTTGCCCAGCTGCAACGTGATATCGCCGAAAGGAAGAGAAAAAGACAAATGTTAGAGCAGGATGGAGAGAGCTATGAAAGATCAAGCAAAATTAAATTTCCGGACTCTAATCAAATGAAATCTGATGTCCAAGAAGAGGTGAAATCAGGGAAGAAAGCCAAGAAAAAGAAACAAAAAACTGCGGAAGATAATTTGGAGAAGATAAAAGACAAATCGATGTCTAAGAATGGCTCAAAAGAGGAGAACGATGAGGTTAAAAATGATATTCCCATCGATGATTCACAGGAGGAAAGACTTGTTGAAGAGAATTCTGATAAGATAAAGTACAAAAAGATATCAAAGAAAGGCTTAAAAAAAGAGAGGAAAGATGAAATTCAGAATGATAATCCCAACGATGATTCACAGAAGGACAGACTCTCTAAAAATGCCAAAACGAAGGCAGAAAAAAAGGACAACAAAAAGACTCTTTTGAACAATGAAAGTAAGGAAAGAGACTTTGAACAAGAGGATATTTCTCAAGAAAATGAGGACAATGTAAGAGAAATGTCAGGAGAAACACCACAAGAAAAAAGTGAAGAAACAGGGTTTACTGTGATTGGAGGCCAGAGGAAAAACAAAGAGCTTAAAAAAGTACAGAGAGTGTTACCTGATTGGCTTGCAAAACCTACGATTATTAACTCTGACTTGAGTGGTAATATGACTCCAGTTGACAAGATCCCTTACTTAGAATCTCATATAGTCACAAAACTACAACACCATGATATAAATCACTTATTCCCTGTGCAGAGCATTGTCATCCCAGCAGTACTATCTCAAACAGATACAAACAGTTCATTGGGCAGAGGGGGCTATGCACCAGGTGATATCTGTGTCTCAGCCCCAACAGGAAGTGGCAAGACCCTTGCCTATGTATTACCAATTGTACAAATCCTAATGAAAAGGGTGGTTTGTCACTTGCGGGCATTGATCATCCTCCCTACAAAAGATCTGGCAAATCAAGTTAAACAAGTTTTTGAAATGTTCACAGAGGGTACAAATTTGAGGGTAGGCCTAGCTTCAGGATCAAGTTCATTCTCAAAAAATCAGGAACAGCTTGTTAACCAAGGGTAAGTATTTTGTTTTACTTCAACAAAATATGTTACCCATGACACATGTCAGCTTTGTGGCTGATGCTGAAGGAGGTTGGTGTTTCCTTGATGAAAGCAAAGGCTAAAGGAAATGGAAACTTCAAATCCTAACAGCACTATCACTTTTGTCCATATAAACTGGATACCTCTCCATTAGTTACTGAGTGCCATGCAATACACAAGAATTACTCCATTCGTTTTCATTGTTTTTTTGTCTGCTATACATACTGTATCCATAGGAGATGTGCTGACTTAATGGTTAGTACATGTGTTGGATTCTAAGTCAAGAAGACTAGGTTTGAGACCTGGCTGGGTCATTGTGTTGTTTTCTTGTGCAGTACACTTTCCTCCTATAATGCCTCTCTCCACCCAAGAGTATAACTGGGTACTGGCAAATTGTCAGGGAAGCCTGATGAAATTCTGGGGGTAACCTTATGATGGACTGACATCCCACCCATGGTATGTAAACCGGGATAAGTTACCGCTGGATTGGCCACTTCTCTTGAGTACAGAATTTACCTAATTACCTACCTACCTATTCACTGCATCCAGATGTCAAATAGGTGGATATGTGAGTTTGATGTTTGAGATCAATCTGTAAAGAAAAGTTTCCATTGTCTAGGATTGTACTCTCAAACTCTTTAACTTTGGGTAGTGACCAAGACAGAATTTCTCCTTAAAAAATATCAATACAATCTCAAGGAGACAAGTGACAAGAAGAAAGAAAAATATCAATAAGAGGATAATAGTTGATCCAATACCAAAAATCTCTGAACTAACATCAAAAAAACTTTGTGGCAGAAAGTGTGGAGAATTACTAATTAGATCTTGGGAGTGAAGGGAATAAATTAAAAGGCACGACTAATTTTTTGCTGCTCATGACAGTGGTTTTGCTTTGTTTTCAGCTCTTGTGGCAGTAGCAGTTGCATTGACATTCTTGTGTGTACTCCTGGTAGATTAGTTGATCACATTTCATCAACCCCAAATTTTACCCTTCATCACGTAAGATTCCTTGTGATTGATGAAGCTGATCGGCTTTTGAGTCAATCGTACCATGGCTGGCTTGGCAAAGTATTGAAAGCTGCCTACAACAAGCAATCTTTCACAAGTGACTTTTTCAACAGTGACAGGTACCAGATAACCCTTTGACTCCTAAGAATAACTAGCATCTAATTTCTCCTTACAATATCACCCTGAGTCAAACATAAAGGTCATGAGAATAAAGGAAATGATCACCAACTAAAGAGGCTTTTGATTGCTAAACAAATTCTCCTTGTCAGCACCTAAGGAAATGTATAAAGAACAGTATGGAGAACATGAATACTGATATTAGGGTGTAAAGGGTTAATGAGCTGAAAAGTTAGTTCAAGTATTACAGGAAACTCTTGTTATCTTGTGCCTGTAAAGATTTGGGGGAAAGGCATTGTAGGAGACTCTATTTGATAGGGACAAGTATATTTTGGGGGCTAAAGGTGTGTAAAAGGGTGGGATTTCACAGGATAAATTATAGAAAGGTTCTTTTGATACTGCCATCCCAACAAAATTTTTTCCCTCATTCCCCTCATTCTGATGTTTGGAAAGTTTAAACAACCTCAATCTTTGGACATCCTTGCAATCAAATTAAACTGACAACTCTGTTTTACATTTATAACTCTGTAAAGACCTTGTCAGATCACTGGTTTTGCACGCATGCATCTGGAATGTATCAAATAGTTTGTTTCCTTTTTAGGCCATTGTCCTGTAACCTGCAGACAATCAGGCAACCTGCTAGAGCTCAAACAGCAGCAAGTTTTGCCACCATTCAACTTCCTTTGCAGAAACTGTTGTTCTCGGCAACAATGACACACAGTCCTGAAAAGCTTGCTCCTCTCCAGTTGTATCAACCAACTTTGTTTACTGGGACAGGAAGTGTCAATCAAATGAAAACAACTGATTTTGGTGGACCCACTTCAGGTACATGTGGAAAGTCTTGAGCTGTTTGTTGTGTAGTATTAAAAAAGGTGGAGTAGTTCGAGGAGAAGCATGTCACATGAAATGTATAATTTTTATCTTAACTGTTGTAGTTTTGAAAAATCTGCATTAACATTTGCTGACCATTAGGCCTCTACTTCGCCCACTTTTAGTTTTGAAGTTTTTGAAGAGATCCCTTAAAATTTTGGTTTGATTGCAAATGGTAAAAGTAGCTATTGAAATAATCATTAACATCAGAACAGGAGTTTTGACATTTTAGCAAAGAAGCTTTGAAATATAAACAGCATGTCTTTTGTTTGTATTTTCTTAAGATGTAGCAACATCTGGTCGGTTCAGTGTGCCAGAAGGACTATCAGAATATATGACAGTTTGCAACAGTGGAGAGAAGCCGCTGATGGTGTTGTACTTCTTAACGCAACTGAAGTTTGAGCGAGTTCTGTGTTTTGCATCCACACTGGAGGCTACTCACAGGTACTGTGTGTTTACATGCAGTTTCCATGTAGTTTTGCCCATAGCCACAAATGGTACTAAAGTTTAACTTTTTGGTTGAATAAGACCAAATTCTCCCAACTACTGGTGATTTCAAGATGATTTGGTGCAGCTACACAGAATTTGAGATTTTCTGGGTTCATATTTTTAAGTATTAGTTCATGTCTGACTGAACCCTGTACATCCTAACATCAGTGTCCAGATTCTCAGTACTCCTCTCTATACATTTCCTTTAGTGCTGACAAGGAGAGTTTGTTTGACAATCAAAGCATTTTAGGTTAGCATTCATTTCCTTTATTCTCATGATCCGAATATATAATTCACTGGTATTCCTGTAAGGAGAAATTAGATGCTGGTCACTCTTTGGGTTGAAAGGGTCAATAATCTTTCTTCTTTTTGACTGAGTTCTCTACAGATATCCTTGCTTTGTATCTGTCACAGGTTATATCTACTTGTGAAATTGTATGGTGGTGTCCAAGTGGCAGAGTATTCTTCAAGCTTGTCACCTCCACAGAGGAAGGGAATCTTACGAGACTTTAGGCTGGGAAAGCTACAGCTATTGATCTGTTCAGATGCCATGGCGAGGGGTATGGACATTCAGGATGTGTGTTACGTCATCAGTTATGATGTACCAAATTACGTCAGAACATACATACACCGTGTGGGAAGGACAGCAAGGGCGGGAAACAAAGGTAACCTGGCCCCAGTCTCTTTCGCAGTTGCCACGCAGTGCTTATCGTTACGTTACGACAAAGGATAGCGATGGTCGACATAACCTTTCTTTTGGGTTTCGATTTGAATTTCATGGTTTTAACTACCCCAAAATTTGATTTTAAATTCTTTCACATCACAAGAAAGTGTTTTATGAAGGTCTCCTGTCTTTTTGTATTTGATCACAATCATTAACTTGTGGTTCTATTACACCTTGTCAAGCATTAAAGGTAAACCTCTCGGATAAGGAAATTATGTTAAAAAAAGCGCCCCATCTCTTTGAACTGCTCTTTCACCAAAGTTTCATCGCGTGATTAAAATATTTTAGGTTTTAACTTCAAATCAGAAGATAAATGCTAAACAAAGTAAATCATACTGCGAAAGAAAAATTTGTTTAATTTTTCTTGTGACCTTAAGCTGTGAGTCAACGAGTAAGCCTGTTAATATACCCGACCCAGTTTTCTCTGCTTTCCTCCAAACATGTTAAGTGTGGAATGTTTGTGAGGCATACATAAGGTGCTGATAGACTAGTTATTGCGACCTCTTTTTGGCTTTATTAACGAATTGAAGAACCAATCAATTAATCATTTCACAACGTTAAAATTTTTTATGTTTGCTGGGCTATATTTCGTAAGGGAGACACTTTGTACCTCAAATATTTTTTCTTACTGATTTATTTCATCCATTCTTGGTGTCAGGAACTGCCATCACACTTTTACACAGCGAAGAAGTACATCATTTTAAAGAAGTAATTCAGAAAACAGGTCGTGAAAAGATTGCCAAGTATAACATCAAAGAAGACAAACTGCAGCCCATGGCTGAGAAGTATCAGGACATTTTAGAACGCTTACAAGAAGCAGTTCAGATGGAAAATCAGAAGAAAAGGCAACAAAAGGGGAAACAGGACATAGTAAAATTATTGCAGGAACAGTTTTTAACTAATGTGGAAAAAAGAAACCCGGAGAAAAGCTAGTTGTTCGAGATGATTTTGAAATAAAGGAGAAAACTTGTTTGAAATTTCATAAAGAAGATCGGAAAAAAATGGCCCTGTGTTGCTAGGACGTGCATGAATCAAGTACTGTACAGTTCATGTGAACAAAGAGTGCCGTAAAAGTCAAGTTTCCAGGCGTTTCAATCTTAGCCCTTTATCGTAAGAACTACGTTGCGAAAAGTGCTCTTTTTTTAAGTTAAGTTACTTTGATAATAAATCAAATTTTTTATACAAATAATGCTGTCTGTAAGCCCTTATGCATAGATATCCTGAAAAATTTAAGGATAATTTTTAACATTTCAACCACTTAAAGTGACGCAGCTAATTTCTCCTCATAATATTACCTCTAAAAACACATTAAGAGCAGGAGAATAAAGGAAATGATCACCAAACCAAGAAACTTTTGATTGTTAAGCAATTTCTCTTTGTCAGCACCTTAGGAAATGTAATAGAACAGTGTGGAGAAAATGCAAACTGATGTCAGGGTGTTGAAGAAGAAGAAGCCAATGAAGACTTCAAGTAAATACCAGGAAGTCGCGCGAGGTGCGGGAGATGCAAGTGGCGTTTGTTATGAATCTTGCATCTGATTGGTTTAAAAGATTAGCGCGAGTTTTCTGAGCTCACCTCTAGAAGAGGTGAAGCAAGACCAAGTCACTCCCGAACCAATCAGAGAACGTGCTATTACTCATTGCTCTAGCTCAACGTTAGAGATCTAAAGGAGTTTACGAGAGGTTTTATATGCCACACATCTATGGAGCACTAAGCCTTTCTTTTAATCCTTTTTAATTAGTTTTTTATTTTTCGATATTACCTTTATCGCTAACTAAAAAGAACGTCATCTCTCCTCTTTTGATCAAAACCCAGGAGATTTAACGCAGCCTCGCGCGCGCGCGCACGTGTCAAAGATGTCGATTATTACGTAAGAAAAATTAGTTAATAGTCGAGTAAGATACAAGTTAATTTTTTGCTGTGCGTACTTGTGACCTTCTTAACAATAACGACTAAATTATTACCTAGCGCAAGGTAAGTGTGATGTTTTCAATAGAATAGTGGTCGCGTATTGACAATGGAAGCCGCCTTATCAAAACTTATTTATCGCAGATTATACTCCTATTTAAAAAAGAAACCAAGCTTTCTTTAACCATACTTAACATGGAAAACATACTTTATTAGTATGGGTACGAAACGATTAAATCAACTAGGTGCAAATGGCCCTAGCTGGGTACGAATCGACTGAATACTAAACGTCCGTGGGGGCGAAACGACTGGTAAGCAAGAGATGTGGGGCACCGCTTTGGCCTAAGAAAGACGAAGAAGTAATCTAACGGGAAGGATCAAGCCTGTTACTTAACGGATGGGAAAGTGGGTGGGTTGTCAAATTTTATCACTCTTACGGCGTTGAGTAGAATGATGGGATGGAACTTATGTTAATTTTTTGATGAAGTCTCCTTTGCAAAATCCCCAGGGAATAATTACAAATGCAAATAACGTTTGCCTAATAGCAGCTGATAATTCTCACGAATTCAAACTACAATGTAAGTGGCTGAAATTCGCAACGCTGATTTGTCTTGATTGGTCACAGTTGTTATCCATATTCATGGATGGTAGAATTTGCGTCAAACCAAACATATCGTGTTTGTGTGCCTGTGCAGGTCATGTCCGACGTCCTCCTCGAAGAAGAACGTATGCGTTCCAACCTCAAAATGGTAGGTGTGTTTTCTTCTTATCCTACATCTACGTCTTTCGTCTCTGTCGGTAAAGTGGAGGTTGGAGTGCTGCCACATGAGTTCTTGCAAATTCCGTCGCTATTTACTTGAACTCTGTGCCGCCCTGTTACTGAACTAGTTGTTCGTCGTTTGAGATTTTTCTTATGAAAACAAGTGTAAAGACATTTTGTGTAAGATTTTTTTCCAATAATTTTTCAATTACTTTTGCCTGTTTGTTTAAGTTAAACTTCGAATAATTACAACGTGCAACACGTCAATTGGTGACGAGTTTACCGACTCTGCAGCACTGGTGTGCCGTTTTTATTCAAGAACGTTTTAAACTGTTATTTAAAATACAATTTCTAGTGTAGAAAAGGTTTTTAAAAGTGAAATATTCTTTTTACATTAATGGCAGAACCTCGCCTCGAAATTTTTATCACCCATAATTTAAAATTACATAAAAATTCTCAGGATAATTTCTCCACTGGTCAACTTTGAAGTTTAAAGAGTAGGTAAAATTTCAAAATTACAATTTTAAGCTCTTTTACAGAATAAAATTTTAAAAGAGGCCTAATGTCCTTTTTTCTTTTCTGTTATATTAGAGCAATCACTGGATGAGCAACGTTGGTTTATTCCTGACACAAGCAATACATGGACATTGGAGGACCTCGCAAGGAAGAATCCAAGAAAAGCTCAGACGATTGAGAAAATTGGAAACGACAAAGATAAGAATTTATATTCAATTTTAGATTTCAAAAATTAGAGGCTATGTATTTGAACCACTGAACAATTTTGATTTGACGAGGTGAATTACGTAATGTGATTTGGCGAAATCAAAGACAAAGCAACAAGACAAAGAAAACCATAAATAGAAAACAAAGAAAGACGCTTAAATTGTAATCGTTCAAAAGCAATTGCCACTAATTTTTCAATTTCATTAGACTCAAAATCAAGATTTCAAGGGCGGTCTATCGAGGCTTCTTGAAAAAGAGTCTGTTGGTTTACTTGGCACGTCGATGTAAGAAAATGAGGGTAAAATTTCCGCACAGCCCCATACTTCATTATGCATTCAGTTCTTGAATAGAGAAAACAATGACTAAAACAATACATTGCCATTTGGAAAACAGATTTGTTTTACAATAGTATGGGGCTGTGCGGAAATTTTACCAAAATGAGTGAGAAAAGTTGATGGAGTCCGTGTTTTATTGCTAATGTAATTTTTCCGATTTATCTTCAAAAATAGTTTTGAAATTCCCAAAATTATTATGAAAGCCATGCTCAAAAGCCTCGAAATACCGCCCAATGTTAGTCTTGGATCTACATTACTGTGGTCGTATTTGTTAGTGATGGTGTGAGGACTGATGGCATGTAACTTTTTAAGGTGGCACTCGCTCTCGACATGCGCCTCTCGGCAAAAGAACATTTCGATCGAAATTCAGGAATTTCTCTTTTCCAAGGGTTTTTGAAATGATAGCAACAATGTAAATCCGTCGCAGAAATAATCTCCACATTAAACCCAACTATTAGAGCTATTTGAGCTAATACTATCAGACTGTGCTGAACACTATTACGACTGTACCTAGAGACGAACCTACAGAACAATAGAAAACGTTCTTATACAACAAAACAAAAACTGACACCTCGGTTAATAACGCACTAAGAAATAAACCGACTTAAAACCATACGACAAATACGCGAGGACATCTTTTCTCTTCCCTTTTAAAAGAATATTGTCTTACCGTCGGATTGAAACACTCAATTCCGTTGAAAAGTATACCAACCAAGGCTTCTGTGCTCTTTAGTAAGGCGGAACTTTTATTTCGGCAACGAGATTTGTCTGAACCAACCAATGAGAATAAAAGCAAGCAGAGGTAGAAATACATCCCCTATACAATCAGTTATTCCAGCTAACAGAACATTTTAGCCATGAAGACCAACGACATCCGAGGCATCGTTGAAATGATAGCCGACAAAAGACGTGTCACAACTGTCAGGAACTATAGACCGTCCATGATGAGAAATTTACAACTGAAATGACAAGAAGACTTACGAAGAAATCAAAGAACACCTAACAATTCTGAGCCGCCGAAGACACTATGTTTTTAAGTCTTACAGCTGAAAACATCACAGAACTGAAAAACTGAGCAACAAGTTTTTGCCGTCTGGACTAGTATCATTCGACAGACAGACAACTCTTCGTTTGTTACTGATGACGACGGAACATAGTCACTGTTATTGTCAATGACTATTTTTCACAGACCACTCTAAACCGAACAATCAGACATGACACCATCCTGGGTTGAAAATTAAGGATTTTTCAATTGAGTGTTGAAAAAAAGACAAATACTAAAATAATCAAAACATTCATTCAAAACGATGATTCATTTCATCATTAACCAATGAGAATTCAAAGTAAAACGAGGCAAAGTGCAAAAAGTGCGGGAAAACGCGGACGACCACATCGTGATTGGTTTTTGTTTTGCGTCTAATTGGTTGAGAGGATGGCGCGATGGACCAATAGCTGAGCGAGTTAAAGCAAAACCGAAGTCTTGAATCTTGATTACACCATAAAGCCACCTTAGATTAGTTCCACGTTCATCTGATATACACCTTGAGTTCAACTTAAGACCGTTCTGAAGGGTTCTCCATGATTGAAATAATTCATAACTTGATGAGAATTTTATCGGAGTTTACTTTCTGTATGTTTACAAATTGAGGCGTGTTTAATTCTAATCAAAACATTAAATCCCTGAATGATAGAGGACCTTGCTCCTATATTACCCTTTAATTAATAAAGTAAATTTCCTGAAAAATAAATATCTGGTTCATTTAATGAGATGTCGCAAAAACGAGGAAGGCGCTCTCTAAAACACCAACATAAGTTACACTTATTGTCGTGGCGTAAAGAAAAGCTGCCGGCAATGTAAAATCTCAACTTGCAAATTTAGCATGTAAATCTCGTGGACCTCAGTAGGGAAAAAATGTTTCTCAGTTTTAAGTGGAAAGTTAAATTTTTAAACTAAACACGACACAAGTTTTTCAGACTCTGATATGAAAAACAAACTTTTTATGTCTAAAAAAATGATTAAAGTATTTTGATTTGGTGTTTCTGCTATTGGAAAATTACGAATTTTGGAAATATGAGATGAATAAAACGGAAAAAACATCTCCAGAAAAAAATTAAAAACGTGATTTCTGTTGTTTATACCCCTTAACTTTTATTGAAAATATTATTTACTCGCAAAACATCAGGTATTATACGAAACTAATGTAACATTAACGTTATATGTCCGAAAAAATCGCTATCAAATTTCCTTAGCTGTACCAGT